CAGTGCGCGAAGTCGGCAAATACGCAGGAGAGTCCGGCGACGCAACAGTCGGTGTCGGCGTCGGCTACTTCTCAGGTGACTGGCCGGTGTATCTGGGCCTTAAGGGGCAGTGAAGTGCACGTGAGGGCCTAACACTGCTGAATCCCAACTCCCAAGGCTGCCGCTCACGTCAGGGGTGCTGGATCCCTCAACAAAAGACACAAAGCACAACAGTACATCAATTCATTGAATAAGATTCATTGAGATAATAAAAACACGAATACTCTTGGGAGAAAATCCTTGTCTTAGGCCTTTTTGTTGACTGCCAACTGTATCGTGTTTCTTTAAATTGAATCTGTGGAGTTTTTGCTGTTTGATCAAGTCGAGTTAGACGGCAATTTGATCAGTAGAACAGCTAAACTTTAGATCGTGTGCGCGCCCGCGGTTACATTCATATACAACATAATAAGCATGTCATGCCAGTTAAAGCTAGTATTACCAATTTTAAAGGATAAAACTAGACGTTGCTGCTTTTTATAGAATTTGTTATCATTTCAAATGCAATGTAAATACTTGGACTTTCCGTTGGATTGTTTTTATGTTGTGTCCTTTTTGGGATTGACAATGCAAGCAAGCAAGAAATCCCATTATTCTGCTAAATGTATTATTGTCTTCACTAGGGCACTTCAGAGTGTGTTATCACTCTTTTACCAATGCCGCTTGCCAAAAGAAAAAAGGGAACATGGTTAAAGCTGCCTCCCTTTTTGTAATAGTTTGTTTTTGAATGTATGGCTAAGTGAGTTTTACCAGATAATTACCTGGTTATGAAGCTTGAGAGTATTGTATCTTTGATAACCTGTAGTTTAATAGGACTAGGCGCTGATGTAAAACAGTTTAGCAGAGATAGTATCCTAACATACACAAAGTTTCAAATTATGAATTGCTTTTCTGAAAATGACAAAATAAGCAACCTTCCTCTTTACATTAAAAAAGTTATGATTTTAGAACTATGTGAAATGAGTGTCATAATCCAGACAATGTGTTTACTCGCATGTGTGCACATTGACTTTGAGGCTTGGGATGTTACAAGCTGCTGGAAATAATCTTTTCTCTCAGGTATATATAATTTAAAACACTGCTAAAATATACAGTTTTGTTGCTTTTTAAAAAGCAGCAAAACTTTTACGTTTAAGATGGACGCACTGGAGGTGTAAAATGTATTTTTGATAAGAAAAACACTTTAATATATTAGGTATGTGTTAATGATGTGTTTTAAAAATAAATGTTATACCCAAACCCTCAAGTCCCGTCTAATGTCATTTGTTCCTCCTAGTATTTCTGGTCAATGATGCGATACGTACAACATGGGTATCCAAGTCTGTTTTACTTTTTGTACAACAATGTTAATTTCTCAAGTTTTGTTCCATTTAATTATACAACCATGTTTTTTTACGCCTGATTCAACGGTAAACGTAGAAGCGTATGCTGCCTGTGTCTCTGCAGTTCTGTTTTTTGGTTTCAGCTCTTGCCGTACACGGCCATCTCCTCCTGAACACACCTCGGGAACAGATTCACCAAAAGGTCTGGTTCCTTAATGCCATGTGAAAGAATCTCCTCCATCTCTGTCATCTTCTCCTTCTCCAGTCTCCTCATATTTTCTGTGATCTTCTTTCCTCTGTCCTATAGACAAAAAACAATTGGTTAATAAATATTTAAGAAGAAATTGATCATACCAAGTTGAAATTGCTGGCTGAAATGAAGTTGTTAAACCTTGAAGGACTCCATGATGGCCTCCACCAGTTCATGTTTGACAAACAACTCGTGTTTGCGGTCAGGTTTGCTCTGGAAGCGAGGTTTCTTCTTGACAGGGTCATCCGCACCATAGCTGGGAGAAGTAGTCTCCTTCGGCAAATTAATCGCATTAATGTTCTTCACAAAGATGAAAGGTTTGAATACGGACCTGTTGTGCAAAAATAATGACATTATTTGGTCATTAGCTTTTTTAAATGACTTCAAAGCATGCTTTATCAGCTGAACTGTGATCCAGCACTTTACCTTTCAGGGTCTGGAGTTGCTGTAAAGTAGTGAACCCCGGGCAGAGTGGGATCAGTGGGTATCACAGACACCATACTTCCTGTTGTCATGAACATGCCCTCCATGTTGATGCCACTGTCTTTATCTCTCAGGATATCCATCATCGTCTCAGCAGTAATGTGACCTTCAGTAGACAAAATAAACACTTGCATAACAGTGGTACAGTTGTGTTACTTCTGATTCAATTCTCCATAGTGAAGTGTGTGTTACTTACCATTGCTCTTTTTCAGCAACTTCTTCCCCTCACAGTATCGGCTCCCAGCAGCTTCTATTCTGGCTGTAGTGGTAAAGGAGTAGACCGTGGAAAAGTTGAACTGAGTCTTTCCATCCCACCAGCCCTTGCCCTGTGCATATTTCCTCAATTCTGGGTGTTCCTTGTCGATCTTAGTTTTTATGCTATACTTGTTTGAGATGTTGCGATATCCAGCTATAAGTAAAAACGAGAAGATTAGCAATTATACTTGAATTTAACAATATTTGATAGCAACCTAAGCAGTGTAATGTGTTGTAAAAAAACTCAAGCCTTTAATGCAGAAAAATGTCAAGGCATGATGGTCATAATAAGACATTTGATTGCCAACTACTCAGAGAATAACCTGACAGGGACAATATGATAGATGACAAAAAGAATAAACATTAGAACATCAGAAAGTCTTCTATTTTACTTTGATAGAATAAGAATAATAATAATAATAGCTCCACTTTGAAGAAGGATAATCTTGTGCCCAGGTTTATATAACAAGGTAGGATTCTTGTAATTATTGTTACCAAAGTTTATCATGGCATTTCTGTCAGTGATATCAACAGGCCTTTGTTTACAAAGCAGGCAGGTCCAGCTGGAGTGCTGACAGAGCTGTTGATCCTGGTGCGCCACATAAACAAAACTAAGTAAACATTTATACTTGTTGTTTTGGTAGGCCCATGGGTTAGGGTGTACATATTTAAATATTAAATTAAATTAAAAACATATTTTGTTAGTAAGTTATAGGTTTGCTAAAGACAAAAGGGTTCAAATCATGTATACAGAGGAGGATGGTGCTTGTTGACAGCTGGGATCTTTTTTGGCTTATTGGGCTGCAACTAAAATAGACTCCTACAAACATACAGTATATTTGGCCTTTCTCCGACAGCATATATACAGATAAACACGATAAATGTGAATGTTATTCTTTGTTTTCTAATTACCTTGTCTTCTCTCTGCTGCCCAGTGCTTCCCTGATGTTTCCAGCAGCCATGCCTCCTTCCTGTCAGAGATGAGGAAGCTGTTGTGGTAGGTGAAGCTTCCCTGATCCTCCATGCACGATCCTCCTTGGCCATATTTTTTCAGCAGCTCAGTGATAACATCCACAGCTTTCTCAGCTGTATCCGCTCTCTCAAGTCCAAGCCTTGAAAATTGTAGAGTCAGAAATGTATGTTTTGCTTCGTCATTGAGTGTTTCTCAAAAATGGTTTTCTGGATGTTATTACATTTCCAACAATCTCTTTTACAGGGGCTTTACCTGACAAGATCCATACCGAGAAGAGCTTCGTCACCATCTGCACTCTCTCTGCCCCACACTGCTTCATTTCCAATACACACTTGATGCTCATTTGCGCCCATTTCTGCGCCCCACAGCCATGCTGGTTTGCTCAACATCACTGCATAAGTGTGGGCAACCTGCTCGATCTCTATGTATGTACACTGCTCACAAGATAAAGAAGAGAAAAACTGTTAATGGTTACCCCATGGCACTTTCACCAAAGAGCAGTCATTGTGGGTAATTGTGAAATTGAAGGTTGGAGGGCAATAACAAGCTGTCTGTGTCGCCTACCTCAACGTTCTCCCCTGTATCGAAATCTCTGGCAGGAAAATAGACCACCTCCTGGACTTCATCACAAGGCCTGTCAGAGTTTTTCCCAAAGATGATGCATTTTCTCTCAGTGGAGGGGGGCAGAGCCACGAAGGTGTCACAGGAGGATGGGTGCATTTTGAATCAAAAACTTTCTGAAAGTCATAAACATAAGGATCAGTACATTGAGTGGGTTACATTTGTAGTTAAACAGGCTTTGAAAAAGGCCTTAACATTAGCAGCCAATAGTGCACTTTGCACCATATTTATTAGCCAATACGACATTGGTATTAAATCAGATTAAGACCTAAAGTTACCTGAGAGAGCAAGACAAATGTGCAGAGTAATTGAGTTGTTTGTAACTATATTCATCGTTCAACAAGGTACGCTTACCTGTGTCTGCCAGTCTTAGGTCTTACTGAGCTCTGTCTGTCACTATAAGTTTCTATTTTCTTTTAGGTTTCCATTTGAGCTCACCGTCACAGTTCCTACTGTAGTCTCACACGGAAACAGTCACACAGTCACGTGACCAAGCTGAAGTCCGTTTTATATTTGTTATCGAAGTAGTGTTGTTGCTTTTTTTACATTATAGTTTTTTGTTTTCATCCTTTATTGTTACGATGGCAGTTAGTGTTCCTAAAACATATACATTTTTTATTTTATGTAATAATTGTTTGACGATTTGCTGTCAGGAAATCATTGTGTCATTTAATTTCTGATATTTTATCAAAATCCCATGGACAAACCCAATTAAAAAGATGTAGCTTTTTAAGTTTATATATTACAAATTACGTTACTATATTTCAATGTAAATACTTGATGCATAAAGAATGAACAAATAAATGTAGTTTAAAGCGTTACGCGTTTATGTTTTCAACGGCTCCCTGTAGCACCAACACAGAACCGACTTCCTGCAGAAGGATTTGTTTACGTGCACACTCGGAGGCTGCTACCTGCTACGTTAGCAACTCTCTTAGCCAACACTAACGCTACGATTTCCATTCAGGTGACATTAACGGTTGTCAGCCATGGGGAAGTCGTTTGCCAATTTCATGTGCAAGAAGGATTTTCATCCTGCTTCGAAGTCAAACATCAAAAAGGTGAATGGTTGCTACAGTTAGCATTACAGCTTGAGGGTAGAAGACGTTAGCCAACTAGCAAGCAATGCTAACCGTTGATATGCTAGCCCAATTTGCTACTAAGCTTAAGCTAACACAATCCACTTTGACAAAAATTTGATAAAAATGGTTCCCACTCAGTAGTGTTTATATGTCAATTATATACAAACCATATACGATGTTTAATCTACATTATGTGCTCACATTGTTGTTTTTTGGTCGGTAACGTAAAGCTAACGTTACAGTACAGAAAGACATCGCTAACTTAAAGTTACTTTAGTCCACTTTACTATCGTCGTCTTTAAAAGATAAATATACTATTACTAGCAAAAATGGACCACCCAAACTAATACTGTATCTGTTTACTTTGCTGATTGTAAATGCGATTCAATATACATTATATGTAGTGCTATCATTGTGTAGATCATAGACTGTATATAGATGTAGTCGAATGCTAACTTTTAATGAGAGTCGTCTCTCCGCTCCCTGTAGTATAAATCAGTTCTCGAGTCTAACAATGTTTATACACATGACAACCTCTCAAATAAATTAATTTTTAAGACACATTCAATGATTGCATGCTCTACTCATTCATGTGCTTTAGTTTGAGCCGTAACCCATACGGATTTCTCTCTGTTGATGAATGTGACTGTAATGATGATGAATAATTTATCTGTAAAATACAAATATTCTTACAGGTATGGATAGCAGAACAGAAAATAACCTTCGACAAGAAGAAGCAAGAAGATCTCATGCAGGCGTACATGAAGGAACAGGATTGTTACAACAACAGGTTTGATAAATATATAATTGTAACCTTAAACCACCTCATGACCTACTGATTTATTTTGAATTGCATTTAATTTGGGTTTATTGATTAAAACGTAACGTGTAAATGTCCTTCTCAGTAAATGGAAAGGTTTTTATTTACTTTACATTAACTTATACAATCATTTTAAAATAAATACTTCCTCTAATGTTGTGGTAAATGTTGAAAATCACCATTAATAGAAAGTAACTAAAATAACATGTTCTTGTTGTGTTTTCCATTCTGCAAATTATGTATCTATACATTTCATTTATTGTATATAGACTCTTCTTGCATTATTTCTATTTTATTTTGTACATTACACAACTCAAAACATTCTCTTGCACTATTTTATTTTATTTATCAGTTTTATTTGTTCTATGTCCTATATATTCATGTTGCGCTGTTGGAGGAGCCTGTGACTTAAGTTTTTCATTGCCATATCTACACTGTAGCTACTGTGCACATGACAATAAGGCCTTGAATCTTATTACCTTTAGGGTGTTGATGGGGGATGATCGTGTTAAAAATGGCCTCAATTTCATGTACGAGGCTCCACCGGGAGCATCCAAAGGTCAGTGGTTACTTAATCCTATGAACCTTATTCCAAATACCTGATTCTTAAGAAAGAAATGATAAACTTCATTAATACTTGTTTGCTTCTTTTCATAATCGTCTTCTCTCCTGAAGAGGAAACAAAAGAGGTAATTAAAGCAAATGATTTATCCATACGGTTCCACTCTTTTTCTGCATGTGGATCTTTCTTTACAACGATTTTCCACTCATTTATAAATAGAAATGCTTGCATACTAAAATGTGTAATGAACATGTGTCTTCTTTTCAGGATGGGGAAGAAGAGTACAAATTTGAGTGGCAGAAAACGGCTCCGAGAGAGAAGTAAGTATCTTTCTTTGAAACAAACCTACATTTTATAAAAATATTCTCAAGTGCGCTGCAACATTTGCATTCTATTTAATCCTTCATTTTCTCCTGTAGATATGCGAAGGATGACATGAATATTAGAGATCAGCCGTTTGGAATCCAGGTATGTGATGAATTTTTATATTTGAAGCATATAGGATGCACCTGTGATTTAGATCTAGTGTGCACAGGTTGACACATCTGAACAGAATAAATGACACCCATATCTGTCTAAGATGTAGCAGTGAACGTATACGATTGGGACCCAGTGTATTATTAAAGAAACTGTGCATACATTAGTGAACAAAATAAAAAAAATAATTATAACCAAAAATTGGACATTAAACTAATCGATTTAGCCTTAAAGTATGTGATGCCATCATGTTTAGAAAGTATTAGTAGACTATTGGTTTGTCTAAGAAATGAATGGTACATCTGCACTATTTTCCATAATGTGTGTTGTTGTGAACCCCCCCAGGTGCGCAACGTGCGGTGCATCAAATGTCACAAATGGGGCCACGTGAACACAGACAGAGAGTGTCCCCTCTATGGTCTGTCGGGTATCAATGCCAGCGCTGTGGCCCCCGAGGAGGAACCAGGTAAAGTACATAGTCATTATCTCAAATCTGAAACAGACTTTTTAAACGCCTTCTCCAGCAGTGTCTTTGTTTATCAAAATAATAAAATGTTATTTTGATACCTCTGTAAACACACAACAACCATTTTATATACAGATAGTGTGTTGCTATTGAATTAAAACAGTCATTCATTCATCTATACAAGCATTTGCATACTAGCATATGTCAACATTATAAATACAGCATTTAAATATGTGATCAAATAAAGGAAGTAATCATTAACAGTTTATCAATATGTTGATACGTGGCCTGCTGTGATATATACTTCTAAAACATGGGTGTTCTTGGTTATGCAATGGGAAAAACCAGTGGGATTATGGTATGTTGTACAATATTATAAAGAGCCAGTGTGAGCTTCAGTCTGTCGCAGATGTTGCAGCAGGTACACTGAATCATTCCCCTCGGGGTTCAGCTGGAGCTCCCAGACTGCTGCAATCAGCGGATAGCGCAGTAAAGAAATAATGTTTCCCTGGGAGAGTCCAGTCAGTGCATGGTGTTGATGGTGGAGTACTGTAATGCTCCCCCTCCTGCGCCGGGAGAAAAAAAAAAGTAATTATTGTGTATTCTGATTCCCCTAACTGCTGCTTTGGCAGAGTATGATATTGTATGATTTGCTCAGCCGGAAGTAGAGTGAGTTGATTTGATGTCCCATTCTGTTAACAAAGCCGCCCCTGAAATTCCCTCTGTGGAGATAGTGGCTGGCGTGGGTCTGACATCAATGGGACTCTGACGCTGTGATTTGTGCTAACAGGTCCGTCGATGCACCCCTCGGAGTTAATAGCGGAGATGCGAAACAGTGGGTTTGCCCTGAAGAAATGTGTCCTTGGTAGAAATTCTACTGTTTGTGATATATCGCAGGTAATTGTCTGTCTCACACTCCCTTCTTTGCACACATAGGATGATATATTCACACACACACACATATATACTTTACCCTTCAGGGGGGAAAAACCGACTACGTCTCTTATGTCCTTAGAATATATGAATGCTGCCGAGAGGCCAGTTATTGAGGTGGCTTAAGTCAAGTAGACTAAATGATATGGATCAAATGTATTGTTTGATTTTCAAAAGGTTTTCAGCTGATGTGCTCACTTAGAGATTTACAAAATGTGCCTTTGAGAGTTATATGTATCTATATGCTTTGATGTAAATGTGCTGTGTGCTTTTATAGGAATACGTTGCCAGTGAGGATGAGGAAGATCCCGAAGTGGCATTTCTTAAGTCATTGACGAAAAAGGAAAAACAAAAGCTCCTCAGGTAAAAACATTTAAAAAAATAAATAATGAATATATGAATGAACAAGATTATTAATATTTTTGTAACACTGTTTGAATATTTTTTGGCTAATTTATAGAATAAACTGAAGGGAAATAATGTTTCAAACCCATCTGATGAATTACTAGGTCCCTGTTTTATATGGAGCGATAGAAATATAACTTGGATTTGAATCTTAGTATATTATCAACTGTCAAAAGTGAAAGGCATCTTTGTTTGCATTGTTGCATGGTTTCCTATTTGGATGAAGTGTTTTGCATTCCTTCCAACTCAAATGTGTTTATTAGAATGTATTTTTGTTAATAATATTCGGTTACCTGCTGCCTTGTAGAAATCTTAATTGAACATTTGTGATCTTGTTTTACAGAAAACTTGATCGCCTGGACAAGGAGAAGGCGAAGAAAAAGAAGAGCAAGAAACAGAAGAAGAAGAGCAAGAGAAAACACAAAAAAAAGTCTGAAAGTAGTGACAGCTCGAGTGACTCCTCCGATAGCAGCAGTAGTGATAGTGACTCACATTCAGACAGCCATGGCAAGTTCAAGAGCCAAAAGAAAAAGAAGAACAAGAAAAAAGATTCCTGTCGGGATAACAGCTCTAAGAGCGAGCGGCGAGTCAAGAGTCAGAAAAAGGCCTCCTCTCACAGAAGCAGGTCACCGAGCCCTCGCGCCGAACACAAGCAGCCTGAAGAGAAGTCGGGAGATTATAGACAAACAAGGACAGAGAGGGGAAGGAGCGGGAGTTGTAGTCTTATCCCAGAGAACAAGATCAAGCAGGAGGGAGGTCAAGAGAGAAAGAGACACAACAGCAGGGACAGAGAGAGACCTAGCAGCTCTGCCGTGGACAGAGGCAGGGAGGAGAGAGGGAGAGACGGGCGTCACAGCAGAGATGTTGAGAGGAACAGAAGCAGCCCAGATGGAAGGAGAGGCAGAACAGCAGATGGGAGGAGCAGAAGCAGGGAGAGGAGGAAGGAAAGGGATGGCATGGGGAAAAGCAGGAGTAGGGAGAGAAGCCAAGACAGAGCCAAAACAAGGCACTGAGTGTTTAGCTGTGTTCCTCTCTTACAATATTGGACAAAATATGTTGAATCACCTTTTGTGATGACTGTGATTACTGAGAACGCTATAACTGTCTCTCGATTTAAATTGCAGATATTGTTCAGTAGGTTTTCCTTTTTTCTCCAGTAGAGGGAAGCAGTGGACAGATAATATCCAGATGCAGCTCATTGTGCCCTTGTGTTGTTTGGAAGAGTCTAGATTAATTGATAACCATTGCAAGCAATTTGCAGCTATGATCCGTTGATGGAAAAATATTGGACTCATTTTAATGGTCAGTTGGCCACCGGAAGACCATTTTCTGCGATGCAGTTTTTTTTATGTATTGCATTCATTATTGTGTCTTTTGGGGAAATATCGTCATTGTAAGATGTAATGCTTGGGCGGATGTTGATTCTGAAAAAAAAAGTCTCGATATTTTATTTTCTGATTAAATTTTAAATTCTCTCCAAAATGGGTTTGTTTTGCGATGGATGAAAGAAAGTCTATAATTTAGTAATGTTAGTGTATTCCCACTAAATACTAACATGCCTTTAGGTCCGGGCACCTGACAATATAAAATATTACTATTAGGCTACTTATAATCAGAAACTAATTACAATGTTTATTTATTTGTATTGTTTGATTTTTTTGTCCGGTTTCCCTGAATTATATGCCACTATTTGTGTTTTTCATAAAGATATATATATATATTTCCTGTTGCTTTTTTGCAGGCTTCAACAACAAATATTATTTATATCTAAATGTCAAGCGTAAATTCAGCAAACGAAACAGCAGCTGCACTATCCTATATTTGTTTTATTAATGCACATCAGTATTTAGCATTTAAATATATGTTTTAAACTGTGTACATTTATTTTTAACAATTATTTTAATTAAATGTCAAAAATGTTCAACCTGTTATTTTATGTCCTAAAATTACACATTTAATTTGAGATAAAAAATACATTTTGTAAAATAAAACATGGCAACAATTCAATTCTTTATCTCAGATTTACTTTTTTTACATGTGATGCAAGAAGCTTTAATTTCAACATTTTCTCAAGTGTTGCCTGTAGCTTTTTTTGTTGATGAAATTCAGATTGTGCATTTAATTTGCTAGTTTTCACGATGTGGCCGTTTTCTTAGCGCCGCTGTGGCACAAAGGGGAAATTGAAATAATTTCCCTCTATTGCCTTCTGGTCAATTTAACATCCTCTTCAAAAAAAAGAGGGTGTCTGGATGAGATGCTGCTCCCTGACGTATTCCCTGTCCTGGACCCACGCTTTAATTATTCCCCGGGTTTTCTTTGAGAATCGGACGCTGCACTGGGTAAGCACAAAGAAGTCAGAGAGCATCCTTGAACCCTTTCAACACGGGGCCACTGATATTCAAATACCGTGCAGGCACCATTTGACTGTTCTGAGCAAAGAGCATTTTAAATTCAAACATTTGCATGTGACTCTTTGCCCCTTCTTTTTCTGAAGTTTAAAAACTGTTCCCATAACATCTATTTGGCTCCTGGCAAAGAGAAAGACGCCGGATCCGTATTATCGGTCCACCGATTGGTATGCAAATGAAAGCAGTTAATTTGGACAATTAGAATAAATATTCAGGGCCCTTTGTCGTCAAACCCCCTTGGAAACCCCCCGATAAAGTGAAAGTGAACAAAAGATGTCTCGGAGATTAATTAGATATTTGATAAGACACGAATCCCTAATCGCAAATACAAGACGCATGGGGCTGCGATGTGCTCCAAGTCATAATTAATACCATTTAACAAGGTTTTCATTTGGGCATGAAATGTTTTTTTCCGGGGCATTAAACATTGATTTATTCCATAGGGGAAATAGTGAAAGTCAAGGTGTTATAGGTGATATTTAGAGTAATAGTAAACGAGCAACACTCACGTTTAAAAATTAAATAAACTCACAAGAATAATTAAACAAAAATATATAAAATGTACATCACACAATTTCAGCCTTTTTTAAAGATGTTTTAATTACGATAAAATGAAAGTCTTATACGTGTGACTTTATACAGGTAAACATTTATATATAGATATTTTTTAGCAAAGAAATAAAATGGTTAACCAAAGTTGAAAAAGCTGTGTACATACATATCCACAAAGTGCGTCGAAAGTAAACTCCCTGATTTCCAGGATACCAACACGAATAAAACAATCATAGCCTAACATTTACATGAAAATAACAAATAGTTTAGTCGTCAATATACAAGGTGTAACTCACATTGTCCAACCAAAATTCAACAGGTTTCGCTCACCCTTACCAAACATCCATTTCGTTTTCAAGTTGCCCCTAAAAATCCCCAAAGGCCTACAGTAAAGCACTGTTTTCTTTTGATGGGTATACGAATGAAACGTCTGTGGAGAATATATGTTTTTGACTTTGCAATCTCCTCTTGGAATATTTTCTCCTTTTTATTGTCTTTCAAATAAGACCCGTTTTTATATGCTGTGCATTTTTTTATCTGTTTTTTGTTGTTGTTGGATGAAGCCTCATTAGGGCTCGTCGTGAGGAGACTCATGGTCCTTAACATTGATTCTGGGATTCACCCCCTCCATAATAAGTTCTGGGGACTCGGACCTCGGGGTCTCCAGGTTACTGGTGTCGGTGTCACTGTCGCTTCCCTTTTTGCTTCCACCACCGGCCGTGTGCGTTTTGATGTGCTTGCTCAAATGGTCACTCCGCATAAAGCGCTTGTTGCACACCGGGCAAGAAAACCTTTTCTCTCCGGTGTGTGTGCGGAGGTGTCTTTGGAGCTCATCGGACCGAGTGAACCTTTTGCCACAGAAAAGCCAGTTGCAGACAAAAGGCCGCTCACCTGTGTGCCATCTCAAATGCGCTTTGAGGTGAGACGTCTTTCCGTACACTTTACCGCAGCCGGGAATGTGGCAGCTGTGGAGTCCCTTTCTGCGCAGGCTGGCCCCGGCGGGTCCCAGCCGCTCAGCCTCCTGGCAGTTCGGACAGTCACATGTTGCTCTGCCGGAGTACCGCCGGGACGACCTTGAGGAGCTACTTATTCCTGAACTGCCCCCAGAAATCATGGCGTTGGCAGCAGAAGCGTCTGTGTAAGTGGGGATGACAGTTTTGAACCCGTCCTGAGTTAACAGGTGCTGCCCGGTGGACAGGAGGTGGGACGCGGTGGGGCTGATTCCTGTGGAGCTGAACGCTGAGTGCGTCAGCGAGGAGAAGTCCGGGCTGTAGCCACTCAGCTGGGAGTGGATGCTTTGAGGTGCCCCGGTGTGCAGTGAGGTCTGGAGGGTGCCGGCCGGATTCTGGACATCAAGCCACGACCCAGGGTTAGTGTGGACGTCCCACCACGAGGACGCACCGTTGGCAACTTCGCCAGAGATGGTCGAGTGGAAACCGGACTTGTACCAAGACTCATACGGGTGCGCCATCCCCACCCGAGGGTAAAGAGACTCTGCTGATGTGTGGACTTTGGAGATAAAAGCTGACTGTCCAGAATCTTGGGATGAGACGCTCGCAGAGTTGGAGAACAGACCGCTGTACTCTGTGGAAAAGGCAGAGGAGGTTGGGGAGGTGGAGGCAAAGCAGAAGGCGCTGTTGCCTGCGCCACTGCTCGCTGTTAGTCCTGACGGCGCGCGGCTTGTTGCTACTGTGAAACCGGGCAGACTGGATCCCAAGTTGCAGCTGGAGGAGGATCTCTTCCACGGATGAAATCCACCTTTTGAGAAAGCGCTCGAGTCAGGTAAAGTTGTAAGAGGACTGGTGTTACCAATTTTGTTGCAAGTTGCAGCCAGCATTGCTAGAGGCGTAGTTCCAAACCGTGGCTCTTCCTGAAAACACACACACAAGTTGGACTTAAAACGGGCAACAACATTGAAATATATAAATGTTTTTCTATTCAACCCGAATATCTTTAGCCGATGACTTATTACAAACAAATAAGACTTTAGTTAAATAAATAATAACAACATCTAAAAAGAATAGTTGGAGCTAAGTTAAATGTTTTGGAGCGAGAGGAGAATCGTATTTTAAAAATCCATACATAAAACACAGGCTAACGTTCAAGAAATAATTATTTACATTTGTTTTAAACTTTAAACTTTCTCAGTATACTAACTCTGTCAAATATCTGCTGTGAATATACACACACATAACATAATAAAACACAATCCTACACGTCTTTATCGGCATGTAACTATTTTTTAATAATAATTAACGAGTTAGTAACACAGTTGGAGATCATTAGTGCAAACTTGAAAGCAAGCATGTTTATGTAAGCCGCAAGCACTTTCAGTTGCAGAAGAGAGTAGTCTACAATAACTTTACGCACAACTTTTGCGCACAAATACAAAGTCAGACTCACCCCAAGTATAGACGTTGCCATATCCAGGGTCTGTGCTGTGATGAGAGTGTTCGCGATTTCAATGCTGTAAGTCTCCAATTTGATTCAGACTCACCGTGTTTGACTCAGGTCACACGGTTTCTCTCTTGGCTCGCAGCTCCCAACACTACCTAGTTGTAGAGAGCGTGTTCTTTGAAGTACAGCTGGCAAAGACTCGCAGCCAATCGTAGCACAGCATTCATGGCTGGGGATGAAGGCAGCCAATCAGAGACTCGACCGCGGACAGAAACACTAAAAACCCCGCCGTCAATCATCTGTTGTGCAGCCTCTGCTCAGACTGTCATACAAGACACGATTTGGTATTTTTTTTTATGCATACAGTTATTTTTATGTATTCTCACGAAGGCTCAATGTCTCCTTTCATTGCAGACTTGAATTCACACGTCAGTTCTGCAAAAGGTAAGCGTTTCACTTATTTTAAAGCATGTGTAGGTTGTGGTGACACTGTATTCTTCCAGGTTTCCCGTCTGATTTTCAATATTCAGATCATGCGCAACACGTCATTGAGAAAGTGCTGCTATTTAAGCACATAGTATCCTGAACAATGTGAGAGACGCTGGCGTTGCTGATGACTTGATCAGAACAGAGTGTGTAGACATGCTGCAGTGTGTTAGGCACGGCACTGTCAATGCTCGGGTGTAAACAAATAGCCTACTGTTATATAGCTTAAACCACAGGTGCTCGTGTTCGTATTGCAAAATCACAGGAGAAGTTTAGTGAAGATGTCCAGAAACAGGCCGGAAACAGCAGGGATATTTCCTCCAAACGCCTGGGGATCATTTATGAACCGACTGCATGACATTTATTGTCTGAACACACGAAGGAAAATAACCTAATCACTCGTAATGGATCAACAACCATTTGTTTACTTCCAGACACAATTATTTGCGCGTCTGTGCTCGTGCGTGTGTTCGTGCCGTGCGCACATCCCCCCTCCCTGCTTCCTTGTTGGGCAGTTCAGGTGAGGGGTTAATTACAAATGACAGCTTGCTTGATCATGTGTTTTTAACTCAAAGACAATTATTTTAAAAGAGGGAAAAGTTTCAGCTAGCAGGTGATGCCTGAGGCCGCCACTCATCTCCATTAAACTGCTTTTGCACTCTGTCCGAGTCTCATCCGAGAAATAAAATGTAATGCCACTCAATTCATACATTTTAGAAGATTAAGAGGTTTCCATTTTCCAACAATTTGTCTAAACGAGCGACTATTTTTTTCCCCTTTAAATATCACAATTCCATAAGCCCGCATACCACATAGCTTGTAAAAACGCCCAGGGATAATGACATAATGTAAAATTGACCTCCTCTGACGTGAACCATCATCCCTCTAAAAGTTAAAGCAATTTTCCAGAGAAAGGCTTGACTGAACGATGTGCATTATAGTATTCAAAACGGGCAAATAATGCTCCATTATAGAGTATGAATGCTGCCATTCAACACAGGCGCAATTTGTTCAAACACTCCTTTTGCTTTCAAACCACCACCCTTTAAAAGGGTGAATAAAAATCAGCCTCATCAAATACCGAGAGCTGTAACGACAATTAATGTAATATTTTTTTGCAATCTTGACAATATGCTGTTAACAGTATTACATGTCTATTATACATAAATAAAGTGAATTGTTGCTGAAGAAGTGAAATGAATTGGAGCGGTAAATGAAATTACACGCAGCATGTAGGGACATTGTTTTCATTACACTTAAATTATATTACAACATCGCACAACATTATTATAACAATTATTAAAAAATCTTAAATGATGTCACAGATTTTAGTCTCAATGATAACACGGGTATTCTGTCCGTTTGTTGACATGTTAATTCACGTGTTCATATTATAATGAGAGATTGTAATAATGTTCCTAAAAAGAAATTTCCTGTAATCTTAGATTATTAATGAATCAATAAATGTATTTTGCAAGCATTGCCTTAAATGTATTTGCAGGAAAATGTTTTTGTCCCATTAACCTATAATAATAAAAGAGTAGCGATTTTTCTGACGATGTCTTCTTGAGACAAAAGGGGAGAACATGATCTTGCCTTGTCATTCAAGTAAGATTTTTGAGTTGCATCTGTAATCCTGGACTCTATTCGTGAGCACTTCTCTGTGGCAATTAGGAGCCTATTACAAGCCATTAGATTGATCAATGTACCTTAAACAATGGGAATGATTTATTTGGTTGAACAAAACGCTCTGCATCTATTGTGATGAGTCTAAGTGGGGGTGCATCCATCAACAAAAGATAAATGATTAATTCAGACCTATTCATTTGAATTCTCCCTACAAAGCCAGTCTCACTTGCCTCAAATCCAGATTATTAGAGCCTCATTTTCAGCATGTTAAACCAGACAGGATGCTGGATTGGGCAATGGTTTTTGGTTGTGCCCCTGTGAGCTTTAATTTGTATTTCTGCTGGGGGAAGTTTATTTGAGGACATTTAACTAATTGTGGTAATTTGGTGTGCTCATGTGGCTACACCTGTTTCTCTCAAAGGGGGGTTGGTGGAAACAGCAAGGATGTTTTACTTTGTTTCTGTGGCGCTAAAGCTGTACAGTGCTGTCTGAAAATGACACTTTTTATGATCAGATGAAGCTCATTGAATAGCACAAGTATGAGTATTTTGTCAATATGTTATTACTTAAGGTCTCTTCCTTCTTAAATGTAAAGATAAAGCTAAAACCATTGTTTTTGTTTGCTTTAAATGACAATGTCTGATCTACCATGAGTTTGTTTAGGTCATTGTTTCGTTTGTTGGCAGGTGAATAGAGACAAAAGCACTGGAAATAATTGATATACATTAAAGTGCATTGTGAAATAAATTGCTTGACGAGAGGATTTATTGCTGTAGGAAGCCAATAAGATATAAAAGAAAGGGAAATGGCCAAATTGCTTAGACCTGCCAGCAAAGGGATGAAGCTGGTGGATGTCTTCAGTAACACGGCTGTCAAGACGATTCAAATGTTAATTCAAAGCAGGCAGCTGTTGACAACCCAGTCAAGCCTCTGTTGAAGATTAACTACACTTTCAATGCAGACACATTTCAGCCAACAGTTCTATGTAAGATTGATCTCACAGCAGCTCATCAACCTACATTGATAAAAAACCATCAGCTAAATGTGGAGGTACAGGTCATCCTGCCAGCATTCAGTGTCAACTTCCATTTCCAGAAGCTGCATTTTCTATTTTTAATGCGGGGGAGCGAGCCATCCGAGGTGCAGTCGGCTGGTAACATTTGAGGACTAAGCTTGGCACATTTTGTGTAAATGTGTTGTTTTCTTCTCTGAGTTGGTGAGTTGTTGTGGAACTCAGCAGAAACCTAACAGTGGAAAATGGCTCAAAAGAAGTTGCAGGTTATGAGGAATTGCTCCATCCAAAAACGAGCATGCATTGTGGATTATGTAATGGTGTTTGGTTCTGACTTCAGACTTCTCCTCGTTGTCTTTATCAGGGAAAGGGAGAGAATGAAGCGAAGCCGCTGCCACTGATTGGAAGGTTTGGCACTTCATTGAAAATAGGAATTGTTGGCCTGCCTAATATTGGGTAAGTAACGTTTTTATTTACATAGATAGTGTCGCCTTCTCCCCATTCACACTGCCTGCACCAGCATGTGCTCTGTCCACATCTGAACTATGTCTGCCTCCCATGATGCCATAAATATAAATGCATGAAAGGCAGCATGTAAGCTGAGTACAGTACATTTCAAGACTTAAGAGCATATATTAAATAAAGAAAGAAAAATAGAATTTCAGATACACAGACAACTTTGAGTTGTTCACGTTTCTTCACAAAGAGCTTTTACACCTTGTTTTTATCAAAACAAACTAAACAGCATTTGGCTTGATGTTTATAACTCGAAATGTACACAATAGCAGAGAGGCAAAATACCCTGTTACTAAGCAACTTCACATGGACATCTTTTCAATGTTTCTTAATAAACGTTCACGTAATGCTTTAAACATTGCATGTTTTAAGGTGTTAAAAGTGAACACAAACACAGGATTCTCAGTAAAATAGGACACCTTGCTGGCCACATTTACTATAATTTGTGGAACACATTTTTAAAGAAAACTGTATCAAATTCACTTGTAAGTTCAAGTTACCAAACCCTTTGCTTTAATCACTCAGCTATTACACCTGCATGAAATTGTACATTATTTATGGACATACACATTTTCTGTTGTGGTCTTTCAAAATGTTTTTTTCTCCTGTGCAAACTATGCTTTAGGGTCTTCAATTGTGATATAACCATTTAAACTAAAGGTTGCAGGTAAAAATATGTAGAAGGATGTTAATCAGAGTCCCGGACCTTTTCTCTTTCTTCTTATTTACTGATGCTGTTTATTTATGCCTTTAATGCATAGATGCAGCAATTATTTTAGGTGTTTCTGTCTGTCAATACATCAATGTAATCAAACACAGTAACTTGATTAAAAGGATGAAAAGAATGTGAGGTCGTTTTGGAGTTGTTGGAATGTTTCCCTTTATATGAACCTGGAAATCGAGTTACTCTTCCTGTGATTCGTATCCGTAAGGTGGTCAACTTGACATGAATCTGTACTGCATGCTCAGAGTGTGTGTGAGGAGGCTGACACAGTGACTGCATGTCAGACCTGGTCAGACAAATCCACCTTGTCAGCATCTACCAGGACCTTCAGCAGCCCCAGTGACAGAGTGTAATGACAGGGCAGACCCCACATGTTACCCTTTGAGCTACAGACTGGGCCGCAGCGATAGGTCATCTTCCTCTCAGCTGTCAGGTTCTCATCTTTCTGCAGCTTCCTAAAACGTTTTTTGAGTCAGAACGGTTGTTTTCAAGTGGCCTTAAAACTTTTACAAGGACTGAAAACTGCAGGTTATGAAGGGAAAAAAGCTCATGTTATTCCAAATAAACTGTATAAAGCGTGAGGGTATTTTTTACAGGACTTTTCATTATATTTTCAGATATTTATAACGGAGAATGAACACTGTATAGAATCCCTTTTTTTAGATGTTTCTGCTCATGCACATGCAGCCTCTTCACGCAGCTGTTTGTTGGATTTTAGAGCACAAGGATCCAACCCCCTTGAGTCCAGTGTTTTCTTTTCTAAACCCAGCAAAACCAAAATTTCTTCCTGGTATAAGAAGAAGAACTCATTGAGGTTGTGGCCTGCCATACCTCATTTAAGTCAAAGTGCAACTCGTCAACCCTCCTGTGGTTTCTTCATGAATGAACCATGTTTGAATGCCAGCCTGCTGTTAGTTGGGCGTAACTGACCGTTCTTCACACACATGGGAAACTTGAGAGTGTGATTCAGCCAATCTCGCAGCTATTCCATCACAGAGACATTTGGTCTTTTTGCTCAAAAGCTCCAAAAAGTTGAGTCTTTCTTGTCCATTTAACATGCTATTGTGACACACAGACAAGTATGCAGTTTATGGCTTAACTGACTCATTGTGAGTCATTCTTAAAACACTTCCTCAGGTCAGCTGCTGAACTTAATTGAAAGGGTCCCTGCCTTTTGACTATAGTGCATCATCCCAGTCTGCTCTGTGTGACTTCTTATGCACTTAAGCTCGTCATGTTTTTATGTTTATGTACCAGACAGAAAATGAAGAAATAACTCATCTCTAAGTAATTTTTTGAAGTTCCCAATTGTCCCATTTAATATGCTTAAAAAGTGGATATGCTAACATTTGGGCATGAACATACTGTGTATGCACTATTCATTTATTTTAACAATAGACAAACAACAATTATTTTCTATTTCATACATTTAGCTCATTGGTCTCCCTGCCTTTTTTACACTGAATTAGACAACTTGCTAATATAATTGATTTGATTGAAGTTAAACAAGCCATTCAACCAGAAAAACAATGCAATCTTCTGATAAGAACTGTTGTGAATACAAATATCATCTATAACAAGGGTCTTGTGTTTTATTAGAACATAGAGATATCCCAGAGATATCACATAGAGATAAAACAGATACATATTTTGTGGCACTTTGACCCCTATAAAGAAATTGTCTAAGAAAATATGTGCGTTATTTCCAAATCACACATTTTAATTATGTGCCATGACTATTCTCTTGTTCCTAATTGTTCTCCACTTTCAGTTAAACATTCTATTTAGCATCTTCCTTTTCTTGGAAAGATTAAAAAAACCATATAAGAGTTAAGTACCACTCCCACTAGTGGAAAAACAGTCTGGATCCCCATGGACCTGCATTTTACACTCTAAATTGTAATTATTGATTTAATTAGAAACATTTTCAAACCTGATGATAATGGGGCAATGTAACTGTGGATTGTCATTCTTTTTGTCATCCAAGGTGACCCAAGAATATCCTTCAAGTATGTTTAAAAAACAATTTAGGTTTGCATACGAAACGAATGCATCACTTTAGCAATCTTGAGCAATCTTATGCCTATAGGACTTAACAAACAATAATTTCCCTCAATGAGAGGATGCAAATGGAAAGTCCTGGATTATAGTTAACTGCCATGCCATTATGACTCGTAGACACTTGCCATTGTCTGTAGATTTTGAAGTACACTTGATCTGCTTGTGCCAGAGAAAATAAATCTCTGTGTGATCGCAACATGGGGCGGCGTTTGGCTGACCCCGTTCAACAGCTGAGATCTATCAAAAATGTAATTTGCCCCTCAATTCCACCTACAATTGATCTATTATGGGATTATCTGACCTTGTAATTGGGCGAAGTATTTCATATAGTATTTCTGAATCAAAAGCTCAAATACTCTATCTCCATTAACCTTTTGGTTTTTTTTGTTCCATTTTCCGAAAAATAAAAAAAGCCTTAAATAATTTACTGAACTGTTCCAGGTTCATGCAGTCGAACCATGAGGTTCTGCACACCAGCACTTTTAGATGGATTGACCTCACTGCTGTTTTTATTTTCAGGAAGTCAACCTTTTTCAACGTGTTGACAAAGAGTCAGGCGGCAGCAGAACATTTCCCCTTCTGCACCATTGACCCAAATGAAAGCAGAGTGCCCATTCCAGATGAACGCTATGATTTCCTCTGCCAATTCCACAAACCTCACAGGTATGGGGTCTCATCGTTCACCTATTATTCACACTTCAGATCTGTAGTCGCTGACGGTCTTCTTGTAATAGGTATGAGAAAACATAACAATGTTGTTGACATGTAGCTGCCAGTTCTGTATGATGTATGATTGCTGCTCTACTTCAAGGTTTTCTGTTAAGGGAAAAGCAGAATCATCTGAAACTCCAACACCTGGTTATCATACACATTTATAGAGGCTGTTAAAGCAGGCGGAATTCAGATTTGTTGGGCTATTCTGACAAAGCACTAGTGAGATATCCCTTTTTGACTGACAAGCATTGGTATGTTGAACAGCACAGAGCATTTGACTGCATGAATTTGAGTCACTACTGCCTTTCAAAGAGCAGTATGTATCTCAGTGGCAGGCTTAAACTCAGTTCCTCTTGACTTACGCTGCAACTTTAATACCCGCAGAACTGATTCCATCCACTGCTACAGTATAGCCCAAGAACAATGACATTAAATACCTCTCAGTTGTAAATTATTTAGAGACGGATAATGACATTATTGTTTTCTTTCATAGGATTTGATTGCAATAAAGAAAAATCCAAAACGAGCCTTCTCTTTTATGATGTTTACACTATGTTAAGGCTTCTTAAATTAGTGTTGACTATGCCATGTTTTGTGACTATAATCTGATATAAGAAGGTGATAGTTTAATCTTTTAAGTGTTACAATAATATAACGTTTTACATGACTTTATTGGATTAAGGCACAATGAGGGAGGTTTCTCTTTTATTTAAAGTGATATTAATCATGTTTAAAGTCTGACCTTTTTGCTTTTACTTCCTGGTTTGCAGCAAAGTTCCAGCTTTCCTTAATGTCGTGGACATTGCTGGCCTGGTGAAAGGCGCTCATGCTGGTCAAGGCCTGGGAAATGCCTTCCTGTCCCACATCAGCTCCTGCGAGGGCATCTTCCACCTGACACGTGAGTCCCAGGTTGAGGGTTGTGCTCATCAGTGAAGCACTCTTGTTTCTACTGTAGCAGTTGGCAACATTTAGTCACAATTTATAGCACCAGTACCGTCTAAGGGTAAGCATAGGCCTTAGTTGTGCTATATAATACCAAGACAATGTCCCAGGACAACTTATCTGGTGCATTCAGATCAACATACATCTCAAAATGAATAAAGCCAGATCAAAACTCATATTTAAGGAATGAGAATCATAAAAGTTACTGTAGCTTAGGCTTCACAAAATCAGTAGCATATTTGTAGTTTTAAAAACAGAACAAGGAGTACCACATGATATAATATCATTCCTAATGACACTTTTGACTAAGGTTAGGTACTGTGAGGATGAAGGTTTCCTTTTCTTTTCCTTTCAGTTTAATACACACTGTTTACATTTCTAATAACAAGTAGCTTTAAATATAATAACTTGACAAATACTATTGCCACTCCTTATAATACTGTTGACAACAATAACAGTTGGAATAATAAAACAAATGTGTAATGATTCAAAATACCTTCTGTGGTACCTGCATGTATCTGATTCGCTCAGCATGTTATTCCTGGTCTGTCCCTCAGAGAGAAAGATTTCAAATCTCTTCCCAGGTCTCCCTCAACTTCCTCTGTGTCTCTGACATGGTCTTTGTCTAATACAATTACGTTTCCAATAATAAAAGTGTTGCAAAGTAGAATCATTCCTATTACAGCAACTGAAATGAATGCAAAGTCCCCTTTTAAAAATACCTTTTAAAGAAAGTACTGATTGTATGCTGTTATTGACTTTCCCACTGTGTGAAAGGAGCTCTGATTAGAGAGACGGTGGCAGCAGACATGAAGCTTCCACATAGAAAGGGTTAAGATTAAGACCATTTTGCTACATTGTTCCTAAATTGTTCCTGTGTGTCTCAGACAAGTGTATTACTTTTGTTCCAGCAGATTTCCAATCGCCTCTGACTCCGTAGTTTGTGAGAAATGGAACTGGAAGACCACCCACTGTAAGACTTAGTAATGATTTACAGAGGGGACAAGACGAGTGAATTGAGATAAAAAGGTCTGATGTCAGTTCAGTTTTTAATGGCTTTTGGCACAACTTAAGTAATATTACAAAGCCGGTATTATTTTACCTCAAAACCAACAATTCTTTAGTCATTATATTAATACGGTAGTTTTCCTTAGCCTGTTTGGGGTAGCTAAAACAGGTCATAAATATATAGGGTTTGTTGTATTTAAAAATGTAAGCGAGAGTTTCCCACAACTGCTTAGCAATGTAGTTTAAACTAAAACCAACTTGTCTTAAATACAGATTACGTAGATTAAGTACTGTAATTGTGGGGGACTATTTTCAGCTGCGGATTAATACACATTTGCTGTACTACAGTATTTACAGCCACAGGGCAGAATATTACAGATTTACTCAAATTAAAGAGTGCCTTTGAGCATGGTATTGAAGGACAATGTCCACCAGAGCAACAGTGCAGCTCAATTATATGATTGTATTAGTCTCTGGGCAACAAAAGTGGTAGATAGCACACAGGAATAAACTTATTTGTTACACTTGTGCAATTAGTTGGATCAGTTTGGTCTTTTCAGATTTGACAATTAAAAAATATACAGTACATTACATTTTCTCAACCGTGACGTTTTTCATATTCCAAATGACAGAATATAATCTCTTTGTTTTCCTGTGTGCCCACATTTTGAAATACTAATTCACTACATGTGCTATACATAATTGTTACTAGTATGTGGGTTATATTTTAAATATCCTTATGTACATCCTTATGTCCTTAAAAACACCCACAGTTCCTTCAATATGTGTATACAAGGTCCTCTCCCAAAACCAAGTCTTTTGTTTCTACTGACACAAAGAAGACAAACATCCTCAACAATCATAAATAGGAAGATCGAAAGCTTCTTCTTTGTGAGTATTTACATCTATCTGCTTTGGCGCGCTATTGTTTCCACTCTTGTGAGGTCCTTGGAAACAATGTGGTATGTTTCACAAGTTAACCATTAAACATAGCTGGTTTTGTTTGGTGATTATATCTGGTGACTGGCAGACTGCAATGTTGAAGCCATTGCTTTTATATAGCTTGTTGTGGGGGATCACACTTTTTGTTTCTGGAGTGGTGAGTTTTTTGTCTTGGAATTAACAGAAGGGCTTTTAAAGTCACCACAGAGAGATGCTCAGCTTTAGTGCCATTAAACATCGATTGTCTTTGCAAAATGAAGACAAAAACAATTGACCTGAGCCTGATGAAGAGGGGAAGTCATGTTTTATTTTAGAGATCAGCATTTATTTTCTACCATTTCTCTGTATGACATTATGTTATAGTGTTTTTTCACTGTTACATTCCTTTGTGATGAGGTTGTAAAATTTGAGGAAAACAGGTTTTACAAAGACATGAAGGCAGAATAGTTACCAGAGAGTGAGTATACATCTATTGAAAAGTTTAAACTGTTTCCAGGGAGGAGTCTTATTTAATTTGCATCTTGGGGTTTTTAAATTCCACCAGCATTGTGCACATTATGAATATTTTTCAACCCCTAATGATTTTTGAAAAGCCTGTGTAAACAGTGGATTGGCTTTCAACAATACCTACCCAGTACTATGAAGGCGCTTGATGACATCCTGAAAGCTGATTCTGCTGAACGGCTGGTGTTCCCTGGTCTCATAACAAATGGTTTGCAGGCTAAGTGTTCCCAGTGCTTCTGCAGTGACTGGAACGCGGCGGGATCCTCGCGGTCTGAGACAAGACGCAGACATGTTCTACTTCATCTGTTCTTCTGTTCCCCGCTAGCAACTCTGCCAACCTCACCTGGCCTTATTCCCAGATGTTTGGTTTCCAGCAATTAGATGTTTGAATGCTCACCCAGTGTCCCCCTCATCGCTGCAGGAATGCTCTGGTTCACTTCTAATGACGACTTATTTACGGTTGCATGACACTCAGTAAGAATCTAGCCTTAAGATACTGTGGTGAGGCACGTTTAACCTTTAGGGACTGGCTGTGGTTGTGGGCAGCGTACTGGAAAGGAGCTGTTATTTTTGGCGTAGACTAACTGTGATATTCATGCATTTAGCACCTGAACTCCTGGTTAAGTAAAGGCTCTTCTCTCTCCTCCTCTTTACTGCCTGAAGCAGTCACTAGAAAGTTATCCAATGTTATAAAACAGTGGAAAAAGTTTTGGATATAAAACCTGATCTATTACATGGTATATCTACGGTGGCCAACTTGACAAAACGTGAAATTAAGCGCTGCATTAGCAAAATGCTACAAGCATAAATCACTGCAAAATCAAAAGGCGCTGCAAGAAGCTCGAAACTCAACGGAAACGGGAAAACTAAAAAGTGATGATCGATGCACCAGAGCGTTTCTTGACATTTAGGGATTGTAAAGTTGGCCAACTGACACGCTTGCATAGTTGTACGTGTTTTGTCAGTATATTTGAAATTACTAGGTTAGCTACGTTAGCTCGCTAGCTTTCAACAAATCTGCAATAATATCTGAAGGAATCATTAAATTACATTGATAAAATAAGCCCATAATACAACTTTTTATATACATTTCCTGTGAATGATATTTGCTCCAGAGCAGTTAATATGGTAGGATCACTTTATTCATTCATTAACTTATTAATTAGTCCATGAGAACGTAATCAGGAATTAGCTCGTTGATTAAGGCATTTTATAAAAAGCCCAAAACTTTAATGGTTCCAGATTCTCAAATGCGAGGATTTGATGGGATAAGGGTTTTATTGTTATTCAGTGTTGGTAATACAGTACCACACAATAGTAGCCTACCTTTTTTTCTGTGAGTACTAAAGCTTAGAACCTTAGATGGATAACTCTAGATACATCTGCAAAGGTCTCTTTTACAAACAGGGACTACTTTCTCCGTCACTGCAATGTAAACCCAGACTTGTGCTTACAGCAACTGTAGCTGTGGTTACAGCAGCAAGAACAACGTCTAAAAATCCAAAAGCCAATGTGCTACATGTTCAGCCCTTTAGTTGTTTTGCAGTCTTGGTTACCTGGAAAACACCCTCATAAAGCGGTTGGCAGCCTCATGGAAATATTACATATTTATGTTTCCCAGCTAATTATAAATGAAGACATTGGTCTGTTTCCCTCCAGTGCAATATTATTCAGGTTATACATAAGTATTCATTGTTCACTGCAACTGTATTTAGTTTGGTTGCTGTGTGTTAGTGTGTGTATCAAATCGGTCAAACACTTTGGAAGTGTTGCTAGGTGCTAACTGTCTATTACAGTTTTTTGTTTGATGGGGTTAAGTCCATCAAATACAAATTAACAACATTGGTACCTATGAAGAAATTGATCTGATTCATCTCCCAAAATAAGTTTGGTATTTAATTTCCTCAGTGACTTCCACATGAATCACCATGACCTGATGAATATCCGAATCTGATGATAAAGAGTAAGTGATTAAATGAGTTGGCTTCACTTTGCTGAATCTGGTTACACATTGTATTTGTGTTTGGTTATTGCATCATGCAGACATCAGCCCACAATACACTAATCGCTTATAGTGAACAAATCAAACTGATTGTTTAGCTACAGGCGTTATGAACAAACCAGATTGACTGTTCAGACAGAGCTGATTTATGGCCAGCCATCCTCCGCACTGATGCCAGTAATGGCTGGTCTCCAGGAATTCTGCCTTTTCACTCACCAACTCACACATTCTCAACTCGACAATCATCCAAAACACCTCGCGCAGCCCGGTGGCTTCCAAGTGTGTGACTATCTAAACAGATCAGGTAATGAGTGAATCTCTCAGCAATTCAGGAGTTGCTGTTGATGTAATATACAATCAATTGTAACTGGCAGAAATGTCAGTTTATGTTGCTGAAAATCTTTTACAGAGAGATTTTTTTACAGGAGGAATATACTGCTACAGCTGAGCGAGAAAAAACAAGTAGTGAAAGAATGTACGCAATAATTTTTACAAAAGTT